ATGTATTTGACGTCCCCCCCCCCCCCCCAGACAGTAAGGAACATCACTGAATGAATAAAGGTAATCGGCAATTTTTACTTATTTTTTTCAGTCATGCTTTGTGAACATGTAGCAAATGTAAAATAGGCGCTACTCCAATTTGGCTGCAAAAGTGGAAATACATTTTAATGTGAGGTATTAAGGGAGATCCCAATGTCTCGGTATGATAGTATGTACTGCTGATAAGAAGAAGCGAAGATCCTTTGTGGTATGAGAGCAAGAACCAGGAAATATACAATAATGCAGCTTGTGGGGAATTGGGCGTCGACTTGGTCATAATTTAGCGGTATAGGTAGAAGATGGCATCCCACAGTGCCCTAATATGTGGGCAGTTCCACCTAATGTGTGCCACAGCACCAGTAGTTGGGAATAATTGAGGGGGAAATCCTGTGTAGGGCACAAGGGCATTTATACCAGCGAGTTAGGATTTTGTAGTTTTTTCCTTTGTGCCGATGTAGCCCTGATTCATTTGTGGGTTGTTTTAAAGGCTTTATCTACCTTGGGCTGTGATATTTCCATTTGAGGTTTTGCCTCCCTGGCTACAATATAATATGGTTGAGATGTGTATCTGGTCATCGGTAAGAGATCACAGAGCAAAGAGTTTGTGTGAGTGGGTTCCATTGTTCTCTGGCATAGAAGCTCAAAAGCAGTGCAAGGTCTATGGAAGGGACCAAGTTTTTGCAGTGAGTTGTACAAATCAAATCAAACACAGTTTGGTTCTGATCTAATATTTTTTCTTTTAGATAGAACAATTGGTAGGTAATCATTGACTTTTGTTTGAAATTTCCTAGGAGATAGTATTGGTTTCAGATTTTCAGATACTGAAGTGCATACCTCTCATCTTCATGAGATGGGAAAGAATGACACCTTGTAGCATTAATTATGTAGGCAAAGGGCACAACCCTGCTACTTCATCCTCATTCACACAGATCATGCAGAAGCAAAGTAAGGCCAGAGGGAAAATAGAAGAATCTAGAATAGGAACAAGAGTGGCAATAGGATTAACATTGTCTAGTCTGGTTGCCTTGTCCTCAGCCATCCATTAGTGGCATAATACTAAATATGACCACAAGAGGGAGCAGTCAGTACATTGTATTGCCATCACTGCTACATTATAGTCCGTTAGCTTTTGAATGTTTATTATTTGTATGGACATTCGAAGGCTTTACTTTAATCAAGGTTTCCTGAGTGCTGCGTAGTAAAATGAATGAAAAACAAAACATTGCTTTGCATGACTTTATAAAGAACACAAATTAATACTTTTTCCTTAGTAAGCTTTTTGGGAAATTGGTGTGAGATCAAGAGGTAGATGGTCACTCTCTGTTTGCCTGAGGAAGGGGTCGCATGGTCCTAAAATGTTGCTAAGGAGATGTGCATCATTTTGAGTCAATAAACATGATTGACTTTACTACCTTTTTGGAGTGCGAGTGACTACTCTTATTCATCTATACTTCCCCCCCCCCAGACAGTAAGGAACATTACTGAATGAATAAAGGTAATCGGCAATTTTTACTTATTTTTTTCAGTCATGCTTTGTGAACATGTAGCAAATGTAAAATAGGCGCTACTCCAATTTGGCTGCAAAAGTGGAAATACATTTTAATGTGAGGTATTAAGGGAGATCCCAATGTCTCGGTATGATAGTATGTACTGCTGATAAGAAGAAGCGAAGATCCTTTGTGGTATGAGAGCAAGAACCAGGAAATATACAATAATGCAGCTTGTGGGGAATTGGGCGGCGACTTGGTCATAATTTAGCGGTATAGGTAGAAGATGGCATCCCACAGTGCCCTAATATGTGGGCAGTTCCACCTAATGTGTGCCACAGCACCAGTAGTTGGGAATAATTGAGGGGGAAATCCTGTGTAGGGCACAAGGGCATTTATACCAGCGAGTTAGGATTTTGTAGTTTTTTCCTTTGTGCCGATGTAGCCCTGATTCATTTGTGGGTTGTTTTAAAGGCTTTATCTACCTTGGGCTGTGATATTTCCATTTGAGGTTTTGCCTCCCTGGCTACAATATAATATGGTTGAGATGTGTATCTGGTCATCGGTAAGAGATCACAGAGCAAAGAGTTTGTGTGAGTGGGTTCCATTGTTCTCTGGCATAGAAGCTCAAAAGCAGTGCAAGGTCTATGGAAGGGACCAAGTTTTTGCAGTGAGTTGTACAAATCAAATCAAACACAGTTTGGTTCTGATCTAATATTTTTTCTTTTAGATAGAACAATTGGTAGGTAATCATTGACTTTTGTTTGAAATTTCCTAGGAGATAGTATTGGTTTCAGATTTTCAGATACTGAAGTGCATACCTCTCATCTTCATGAGATGGGAAAGAATGACACCTTGTAGCATTAATTATGTAGGCAAAGGGCACAACCCTGCTACTTCATCCTCATTCACACAGATCATGCAGAAGCAAAGTAAGGCCAGAGGGAAAATAGAAGAATCTAGAATAGGAACAAGAGTGGCAATAGGATTAACATTGTCTAGTCTGGTTGCCTTGTCCTCAGCCATCCATTAGTGGCATAATACTAAATATGACCACAAGAGGGAGCAGTCAGTACATTGTATTGCCATCACTGCTACATTATAGTCCGTTAGCTTTTGAATGTTTATTATTTGTATGGACATTCGAAGGCTTTACTTTAATCAAGGTTTCCTGAGTGCTGCGTAGTAAAATGAATGAAAAACAAAACATTGCTTTGCATGACTTTATAAAGAACACAAATTAATACTTTTTCCTTAGTAAGCTTTTTGGGAAATTGGTGTGAGATCAAGAGGTAGATGGTCACTCTCTGTTTGCCTGAGGAAGGGGTCGCATGGTCCTAAAATGTTGCTAAGGAGATGTGCATCATTTTGAGTCAATAAACATGATTGACTTTACTACCTTTTTGGAGTGCGAGTGACTACTCTTATTCATCTATACTTTACGGAGGCATCCGTTGTTACTGCCGCAACCGCCCGGCTGCATTGGGCTCTCTCCGGTCAGGAGTGCGATGGGACATGAGGATTAAAGATCAAGCGGTAGGGAATTCATATTGCTTAAGAAGGCAACTGCGTAATCAATCCAATGTTGAATATGCAATAATTGTAATAATA